TTCCTCCCGTAACAACACCGAACTCACAGCCCTCTCTCCAATAGAAATGTATAGCACCAGCTCTTCGCCCTGTATGGGTTTAGCCAATAATGGAAGGTTGGCCAGCACCCCCCGCAACTCCTCGAATGCCTCCTCCGTCCATTGGAATTTCGCACTCTTCTTCAGCGTTTTGAATAATGGGCCGTTCTTCTCCGCCACCTTTGATATGAAACGGCTCAGCCCCGCAATTTGACCAGCTAAGATCTGCACTTCTTTAACATTCGTCAGCGACTTCATCTCCATCACAGCTCGAACCTTCTACGGATTAACTTCAATACCTCTCTTGGTCACCAAGTAACCCAAGAATTTTCCGGACCTCACCCCAAAAGAGCATTTAGCAGGATATAGCTTCATCCCATACCTCCGTAATGTTAGGAACGTTTCTTTCAAATCTCGTACGTAATCCGACTCCTCCTTACTTTTCACTAACATATCATCCACATACACCTCCATGTTCCTCCCCAGTTGTTCCTTAAATATTTTATCGACCAACCTTTGATACGTGGCGCCCGCGTTATTTAAGCCGAACGGCATGACCACGTAACAATAGGTCCCTCGACTCGTTACGAAACTCACCCGCTTCCTGTCCTCTCTCGCCAAGGAAATTTGATGGTATCCCTGGGAGGCATCCATCAGGCTCAACAGCTCGCACCCTGCCGTTGAGTCGACCAGCTGGTCAATTCTGGGCAGCGGATATAAGTCCTTCGGGCATGCTTTGTTCAGATCGCGGAAATCAATGCACATCCTCCACTTCCCTTCCGCCTTCGACACCATCACCGTGTTTGACAACCATTCGGGGAACTGAATCTCTTTAATATGTCGTGCTCCCAACAGTTTCTCGACCTCCTGCTCGATGATCTTGTCCATCTCCGCCCCATGGTGCCTTCTTTTCTGCTTCACCGGCCTCATGCTGAGGTCAATGTTTAGCCGATGCTCGATCACCTCCGCACTTATTCCCGTTAACTCCTCTGCTGTATAGGCAAAAATATCAGCGAACTCCCTAACCAACTGGATCAGCCTCAACCGAATAGGCTCTTCCAGATCCTTTCCGATCCTGAACTTTCTCCCTTCACACCCCTCGATCATTTGATTCTCCTCAACTTCTTCCCCAGGTTGGATATCCATCTTCTCCTTACCTTTCTCCACTTTCTACTTATCCTCCTTCGACCTCGATCCTCCTGGTCGATTAATCTCCTCCCCCTTCGACTCGGCCTGCCTCTTCGCCAATTGCTTGTTATTGCTGACTGTTGTTTGGTAGCAACTTCTCAAAGTGAGCTGATCCCCGACAATCTCCCCTACGTTTTTGCCCATCGGATATTTGATTGTCATGTGGTACGTGGATACGACCACCTGGAATGCATTCAAGCTCGTCCGCCCCATGATGATGTTATAGGACGACTCAGCCCCTACAACCACAAATCTCACCATGCGCACCTTCCTCAACTCTCCCGATCCCATTGCCACGGGCAAACTGACCTCTCCCATCGGCATAACTTCTCCCCCATTAAAGCCGTAAAGTGCCTTGGTCACCGGTTTCAGCTCCATATTCAGCTCCTTATTAATTTGCACAAAACAATCATATAACATAACATCTACCGAGCTCTCAGTATCAATAAACACCCTTTTCACGTCGAAGCCTGCAATCTCCGCGGTTATCACCAAAGCGTCGTTGTGTGGTAGGACCACTCCCTCGGCATCCTCTACTTTAAACTTTATGACCGGCATGCGAGCCGTAATCCCTACCTCCTCTCTCTTCCTCTTCACAGCTCGAGCATGCTCCTTCCTGGCCCTATTCGAGTCTCCATCCGTTGCCCGACCGAAAATTATGTAAATCATTCCTCTCTTCACCGAGGCTTCTCCTCCATGCCTCTCTTTATCGCCATCTCTTCTTGGCTTCTTTCCCCGACCGTCTCGACCATCTCTGCCATCTCCCTCCTCATCTCTATCACTCCTTTCTTCCGAATCTTCCCTACACCTTCTCCTTCCTTTCCCTTTCACCCTGTCATGATACACAAATTCCTTCAAATAACCCGCTCAAATCAGCCTCTCGATCTCATCTTTCAAATGTCTGCAATTCTCCGTGGTGTGACCATAATCTCAGTGAAAGCGACAGTAAATATCCGACCTAGGTCGAATTGGGCCTGTAAACCTCGTCTTCGGCCAAGTCACATCCTCACTCGGCATCTTCTGCTCCATGGCCTCGAGGACCTCTGTCATGTCTTTCCTCAAGGGCGTAAAAGTGTGGTATCTCTGTCTCTCGAACAACATTGGCCTCCTCTGCCACTCATCTCTCTTCTCCCTTTTCGAGTCTCGACTCTCTCTTCGGGGTGATGCCCTCTTCTGCCCACTCCGATTGGGCGAATTCCTCCTCGGCGATCTGCTCCTGTACGGGCTTTTCTCCTTTTTGGGCTCTGGTCGAGCCACTCCTTCCAGCTTTGCAATCTCCATCTCCATATCCTCAAAATTAATATACTTCCTGCACCGCTTCAGAACATCCTCATATGATCGAGCAGGGGTATTTGCCAAAGAAGTTCGACAAGGCCCCGCTCGAAGACTCCTTATCAATCCTCCTGCCTTCATCTCATCTGAAGCCGAGTGCACCTCTAAACACGTCTGATTATACCGAGCCACGTACTTTCTCAACGAATCCTTCTCCCCCTGCCTCATCGCCATCAGGGTCAAATACGTCTTCTCCTGCGCCACCGCGCTCGAATATTGATTGGTAAGTTTTCCAGCAAAATCCTCAAAATCCGCAATCGACCCGGGGGGAAGTTGGTGAAACCAATCGAGTGCTCCTCCGCGCAAGGTCGACAAAAATGCCTTGCAACAAACAGAATCAGAGTATCCATGCAATACAGCCATATTTTCAAAGGTCCTCACATGCCTCGACGGGTAAGATGACCCATCATACACCAAGTTGGTCTCCTTGAAATTATTCGGCAGAGGAGCAGCGAGAATCTCCCTTGAAAAGGGGTGTCCTCGAGCTCTCCTTTCCGGTCTCCCTTCCACCTTGTCCTGCAATAGACGCAACTGCTCCGCCATCCTCTCCATCGCCCGATCTCTTCCAACTCCTCCTTCTCCATAACTGGACACATCCTCGTCTTGGCTTCCTACCACCGTGGTCGGCGCAGTGGTGACATGAGATGTGTGGCTCGCAACTTGTTGCACCGCCTGCGCCACCGCGGCCGCCGCTATCTTCTGCATCTCCTCCCTGGTCATCGCCACCATCTGTTGACCGACAGTTTGTGTCGTGGCCGGTGGTGGTGCTCCTCCCTGCGCCATCGCTCCTCCTTGTACCATCGTTGGATTTGGTGGTTGTGGCGGTGGCATCGCCGCCGCAGCTGCTGCGCGAGCCTCCTGGGTCCGGCTGGAGCCAGCATCTACTCCGGGGATCGCCGTCGTCACTCCCACACCTTGAAGGATAGGCTTCGGAGTGATCGGCGTCTGCGATGGGCCAGAGAATCCCGGAGGAGGGTCGTGCCCCAACGGCCTGGCCGTCGTCCAAGCTTCATCGAACGTTGACTGCAAGTTTCTGGGAATTCTATCCGCCATAGCTGAGCTTCAAACACAACCTTTTAACGAAATTTCCCCACAGACGGCGCCAATAATGCAAGCGTAAGCGTCCTGGTCCGGTTCAGGATAGATTGGTTCTTGTCCTCGCCGGTAGAACGCCGGAAACCTGCAAATAACTCTCACACCGGGGGTTGTGTCCGGTGAAGAGCCTCCGATGCTTAAGTCAGTATGTGTATGAGTATACTGAAGTGAAGTATGGAAAATAGAATGTGTTAAGGGAGAAAGGCTCACCCCCTTTATATAGGGGTGAGATACCTGCCCTAATAGCTGCCCGGATAAGGATGAGCTTGCTGCCCAAGCTGCCCGTCCGTACTCTGACATGTCGCGCACATGTCAGAGATGGTGCGGGGCGTTGGGAGCTGTCAGATATGGTTATCGCTATCACCCAATACATTGTCGACACGTGTCCCCCCTGCACATGGGGTAAATATTCTCCTGAGATTCAGTTAGAGGCTCTTACGCGCGCCCGTGATACACGCGCCCATGACTAGGCCGACTGTTGGTTCCTCGAAGCGATCGACCTGTTGAGGTTGCTCGATCGTGTATCTGGTCGAGCGATGGGTTGGTCGACCATCTGCCTGGTCGATTACCTGAATGTTCGATCTTTCCGCCTTTTGGCCTGGCTCCCTCTTGGTTTAACCTTCTCGACCGGCCAAGCAGACCGGTTTAGCCTTGTGTATATAATATCCCATATCACATTTGAATGCCAGATTTTAACCAAACTTTTGCTAGATCTGGAAACTTTGACTGCAAAATTGACGGCCTTCTCGGATGAATTTTTACATGAAATTTTAAGGGGAGATTCACCTCGAGGAGATCTTCCCTATGATATAAACATTTTTTCCGATCAGAGCATGTTTTCCGATGGCTAGAGGTGGAGTTGGCGGCCGACAGTGACGACCGGCAGTGGCTGTGGCCGATGGAGGTCAAGGAGCTTGCTAGAAAATATTCATTTTTTTTTTGTCGGAACTCTGTTTGGCTTTTTGAACGAGTCCTTCAGACGACGACAATAGTGAAATGGATTTCACATGGGCTCTTTCAGCTCGAACAGCCTTCGTACCTGCAATAACCCAACGCCGGGAGTGGTCCCAGTGTCGGGCCTCCGATGCCTAAGTCAGCATTTGTAAATGAGAGTGTAGTAATGAAAGAAGGAGAATGAGTTAATGAGATACATTAGCCCCTTTCATAGGGGGAGTGTACCTTTTGAGACCAAGTTGGGCTTGGCTCATACCATTATGCTCTAAATCTTAGCCCATTTGTGGACTTATTCTCCAATATATTCCTTCTTATCCATTAAAGTCGGTCTAGTATAATATCCTATATCAATACCAAACCATTATTGACATAGTCTTATAGAGCACATGGCAAAGGCAAAGGCATGATGTTAGCACATGGACATCCAAAAGGGGTAAAACCTAGAAATCCGAGAAACTTAATATGGTGTCAGACGAAAAGAATGATGGATCGGAAAAAACTAAACCCCATGATGGTTTTATCTATAGACGAAGTGAACGAGATCACTGTGCAAAATAAAAATACTCAAAAAAGTACTCAGCCAAATGAAATCACACTTGATCCTCCATCACATCAGGGAAATCAACATCTGCAATCACCTCAGGCAAATGATGTTATTGGTACGTTTAGCTACTCTGATAAACATAGTTAATTTGGGGTGTTCGATTTTTAAAAATCTACATTAATATGTTTATAGTTTGTTCTCTAGCTTTGGTTTCCTAGTTATTGTTTAGCTATTGTGGCTTAGTGTTATTGCTAGGATCAATTTGATTCATTGCTAGTTGCCTTTTGGTTTAGTTTGATCAGCCGTCGTGGCTAGTGTTCTAGTGGTTTTGGTGTTGTTTCTTTGTGTTCTAGTTGTTGTAGTTTGTACAAATCATTACTTTAATGCTAGCTTGGTTAACGCAACCAAAAATTTAGTTTTCATGAAAAGACTGATTTTTTTCTCGGGTACAAAGAACGAGGAAAGATAGATTTTCTCGTGTCCTAAAACTCCTTCCTATTTAGTGTTTTGAACATAAATACCGAAAAACAACTACGATGTAATCGACCTACCTTTTTTCGTTTACCGTCACTTACTCATCGAGGTTTCATCGAACAAGCACATATGTATACATATATGTATGAATATAAAGAAAAATACATTATCATATAGTAATGTAGTAATCTGACAATATGAGCAAAAGGATTTATGGCTTATCTAATTCATGATTTCGTTGTTTCATTCCGCATCCACTTAAAAGCATAGAAACACAGTAAACCTATATATATATATATATATATATATATATTCACACACACACACCCACACACATATGAAGGTGCCATATCTGTGATGAACTTGTACTAGTAATATCAGAAGTAGAAACACATGTACATACAAAGGCAGAGGAAAAATGCAATCTTGCTTATAAATAAGTGGAGAAATAAAAAAATGGTTTGATGGGTTGTCCTTGCAAATACTGATCTTAGAAAAGGCTCTACATTAATATGTTTATAGTTTTTATAATTTTCCAGTTAATAATTTCTATTTTTGGAAGACCAATTTTCATCAATAGGTCAGTCTTTAGTTGAATTGGTCTTGGTACAAATTCCCAATGCAAAATAATTTGGCACATATATATGTTAGATGAGTACACAACTAGAGAAAACCCTACTTGCATTTTCACATGATAATAAAATATTCTCTTGTTTCTACTCAAAAGCTTTAGTAATTTTTGTATTGTTTTCAGCCTTTATTAGTTATTATTACAAGTTAGTGCTCATAACATTAGACAACAAAGTTATGAGATCATGTTTTGTTTCCGAACCCCAATGCCAAATCTGTTAAAAATTAACAACATTAGAATATTACAACATTTACTACACTCTGCAGCTCCTTTTGAAGCATTTACTACCTTTAGTTTTATGTTCCAAATCCTTGTTAATCTTGAGTTTATTGAAAACATCCAGAAGTACTTTGCATTTTGTACTTCTGGATGAAATCATATTCAGTCTTACCATCTGAATTCACTATAGATGTAAGTAATCGCTATGCACACACACATTCAAGAATGCTAATGGCATGATGTTACAAGTTATCCCCATGCACACAAATGGCAGTATGGATATTTAGCTGATGAGGCTTGGTGCTCTACCTGCTAACCTACTACGTGATGTAGTTTGTACAGTTAATATGTAGTTAAAATGTATATAAGCTTGCTTGATAAATATCCACATTAATATGTTAATTTACAAAAGTTTCTACATTTAATATGTTTGTAGTTTGTAAGCTTACTCTGATAAATATCTACATTAATATGTTTATATAGTTTGTACAGTTTGTAATTTTTTTTTTGAAAACTATCAAGTATTCCTGACAATGTAGAAAGAACTTATCATTTGTATAGTTTATAAATATCTGCACACTTTCTCGACGAATCATTGATTATTTTGAAAATTTTTACAATTTGTACAAAAGCATAGTACCTCATAATAATACCTCATAATGACTGGTTATGATTCTTTTCACTTCTTGGTCGTACACTCTATATACATTATGTTTTATTCGTTGTTGTTAAAAGCAGCTAAAAGATGGCCCATCTCCTTCTCTGCGTGCTCACTGCATGAGGCCAGCTCACTCATCACTTCAGCATGATGTCACCATGAGGTCAGCGGCCTTTGTCTCTTGGCATGGAGACAACAACAATGGTTCTCTCACTCCCAAGCATATCCTGACCAATCACAAGCTAGATAGGGAATATTTCTTTACAACTTTTCCCCATTATAGCAATAGCATAGATGATGAACAAGTGGCAGTAATCTAGCCATGATCTAGAGTATTCTATAGCTGGCTATAAGTATCTTAGTGTAGGTTTTGGATTTAATATCATCTTGTATTCATACTCAGCCGCCATGGCACTTACAGTAATGAAAGCTCTGTATCATTTGCTCTTGTTCATCAATTTTCATGTTTTCTCATGGTATCAGAGCAGGTTTAGTACCTGGCTTTGATTATCATAAAAAAAAATTAACAACAAAATGTCTGAGACTTCCAGCATGAGCTCAGGCAGTTCAAATTCCCTTCAACTCATTTTACCAAGCAACCAGCTAATCACAGTCAAGCTGGATGACCACAATTTTCTGGTTTGGGAGCAGCAGGTCCACATGGTCATACGAGGATATGGACTCGATGGTTACAATGATGGAACCAACAATGTTCCTGAGAAATTTCTTCCTACAGTACCAGTCACTCCCAATCCAGAATTCCTCACCTGGCAGAGACAAGACCACCTCTTTGGTTCAGGGATCCTTTCATCACTAAGCAGCAACATCATGCCCTTAATGGTTGGTCTAAACACTTCCATGGAGATATGGATGGTCCTAGAGAAAAACTTCAGTAGTCAGTCCCTTGCAAGAGTTATTCAGTACAAAATGGAGATCCAAGATTTAAAGAAAGGATCTTTGAGCATGAAAGAGTATATCAACAAAATGAAGGATTTGTTTGATGCTCTGGCCTCAGCTGGTCACATGCTTTCAGAAAAATATCAAATCATGCACCTCATTGGTGGTCTAGGCCAAGAGTATATAACCCCATCATGGTTACTATCTCATTCAGAATTGAACCTTGGTCTGTGATAGACATTCAAGCCTTACTGTTGAGCTTTGAAGCAAGATTGGAGTCTTTTGTTGTGCACAATCTCTTAGTCAACAGTGATGGGACATTTGGCTTCACACAGAATACCAGAGGAGGTTTTTAATCTGGCTTCCAAAGGGAAAGAGAAAAAGCTCCCTTCAAACAAAATGCTAGAGGAGGCAGACAAGGAAGAGGAAGAGGGGGTAGAGCAAATGTTTCATGCCAAGTCTGTGGTGTTCCTGGTCATACTGCTGAGAGGTTCTGGTATAGGTATGACAGTTGCGACATGGGAAGTTCACCTGA